CAGCAGGATATCGACCAGTTTGTCGACGATGAACTCATTCTCTACGGACGTGACCTCAGTCAGGGTGCAAGATGGAAGGTTGTACTTCGCTTTCTGGGTCGACTTCGAGATGCTGGTCGCGACTTCGCCTACAACCAGATTGCCACCACAAACCATGCGATTCCAGGACGGCGTGGTGCACAGGTTTTGGAGGAAATACCGGTTGACGACGGTATCTACATTGTCGGAGCCTACAATCACCGCCACATCGGTCATGAAGCAGTGCTGACTGTTCAAGGAGCCAAGCTCCTCATCTACGACTTAAAGGAAGGTAACCCGATCTCGTCCGCGAAGCGCTGGATTAACTTCTATGCATTTGTTCGTCCGTTCAAGGTCTTTAAGTAGACGATAGGAGTCGGTAGGATTTCCGCGGGTTTGCCTAACCGATAATGAATTTTCCCAGCAAATAATCGCCTTATGCATGATAATTTGTATATGAACTCATGTGTCTAGATAATTCGGTACTTGACCAGGGAAACCTCTACGAGGAAAACGTTGTGCGAACAAAAAGATAAAACCCAGTGGGAAACAAATCTAAAAAGAACGCGATTGGTAGACACGCTTCGTGCGGTTATATTATCGTAGTAACTCTACATTTAGTGGCCGGATCCAGCTTTCAGGGGTTTTAACCCTTAGTTCTCTGAACTGATGCTTATCTAAAGCTTTCGTGAAGATGTCAGCTATCATCTCTTTTGTATTGCAACAAGTGACGGTGAATTCGTGTCGCTCTACTTTGTCTTGCACAAAGCAATATCTAACGTGAATGTGCTTTGATCGTCCGTGTAGTTCGGGGTTGTAGCAAATTTCAATACACCTCTGATTGTCCTCGTAAATAGTATTGGCCTGAGTAGTGGCAAAACCGAGTTCTTCAAGGAGGAATTTGAGGAATATCATCTCTTGCATGCAGTGACACAGGGCGATATATTCTGCCTCTGTTGTAGAGAGAACCACAGTGTGGTGTTTTCGTGAAAGCCATGAGATTGGACTGCGCGCTACCATAGTAACGTTACCGCCGACAGAACGTCTTCTGTCAGGGCAGTTGGCATAGTCCGAGTCACTGTAAGCTGTCAGATAATCAGCGAGGTTCTCACGTGTGATGTCGGACGAGCCTCCCAGAAGAAGACCATAGTCTTTGGTTCCTGACAGATACTTGAGTCCACGAATGACTGCTTTCCAGTGCTCCATTCCCGGATTAGATAGGAATTGACTGACTTCACGCATGTAGAATGTCATGTCGGGTCTAGTGCCTACCATTAAGTACATGACACTGCCTACGGCTTGGCGATACGGAATGTCTTTCATCTCATCTTTATCTGGCTCACTGCTAGGCTGGCTGTTCTCGGAGAGTTTAACGTTCCGGTCTGCTGGTGTTGCAATTGGATAAGGGATGTAGTCGCTGAAGCGGTTAAGGACCTTCGTAGCGTACTTGTGCTGGTGGATAAATATCGTTCGGTTCTTACGGTCACGCTGAATGGACCAGCCGAGTAAGTACTTCACCTCCCCTAAATCGGTCATGAAGAATCTCTTCTTCAGGGCGGATTTAAGCTC